GCTGCAGTCACCTTACAGAAAAAAGGTGCCTTTGTGCTTTCTGCTGAAACCCCAGCGAGTGCTGGCCTCTTTGGGAGTGCTGCTGGCTGCACCCAGAGCCAGCCAGTGACATTCTCATGAGAGCCTCGTGCCAGTGGGGTACTGGGGGGTCTCACTGCCTGTGCTGTCCCCAGGCCCTGCAGTGCTGTGATGAAGGTGCCTACCTGCTCGCCAACCAGCAGATGGACAAGTGCCAGTCTAAAGAAGGCGCCCAGAAAGCTCTCCAGGACATAGAGAGATTTCTTGAAAGCTCGTCATCCTACTTGAACTATGATCCCCAAGCCCTGCAGGACGATTTTGAGTCTGTTTTGACACCTGAGCTGAAGGTAAGCAGTTCCCCAGGAGTGAGGAGCAGGGCTGGGGTGTGTATGGCAGTGCTGGCACCCTGGCAGCTCTGTGCCAGCTCAGGGTGAGGTGGTGCTGGCTGTGGCTCCCCTTTTGGCTCTCTGCAGTGCCAGCTGCAGGGGAAGCTGGTGATGGGTCAGGGTGAGCTGATGCTGATTGTAGCTCTTTGCTGTGTATCAGGATGAGCTGGTGCTGACCGTGCCTCCCCTGTCTCTCTGCAGTGCCAGCTGCAGGCAGTGCAGGGGAAGCTGGTGATGGGTCAGGGTGAGCTGATGCTGGTTGTAGCTCTTTGCTGTGGGTCAGGGTGAGCTGGTGCTGTCTGTGGCTCTCTGCTGTGGGTCAGGATGAGCTGGTGCTGACTCTGTCTCCCCTGTCTCTCTGCAGTGCCAGCTGCAGGGGAAGCTGGTGATGGGTCAGAGTGAGCTGGTGCTGTCTGTGGCTCCCTTGGCTCTCTGCTGTGGGTCAGGATGAGCTGGTGCTGACCGTGTCTCCCCTGTCTCTCTGCAGTGCCAGCTGCAGGCCGTGCAGGGGAAGCTGGACAGCGTGCGCAGCATGTTTGAGAGCAGGCAGTGCTGCTTCAGGAGGCTGCTGGACAAGCACGTGAGGCCCGTGCAGCTCGTGGCTCCTCGGCCAGAGACCCCACCCCGGGCCAAGTCACCCCTGTTCTCTCCTAAGCACGGTAAAACATCCTGCACTTATGGATTTCCAGCTGGTAACTCTGCTGTGAGGCAGGAAGAGAAAGGCTTAGGATGGCTTTGAGAGGCTGACTAAACCTTGCTGGCAGAGAGAGAGTTATTGGAGAGTGTTTAATACATATCAGTGATTTATGAACTCCCTTGTGTTTGTGCTCCCATACCTGTGTGAAGGGTGAAGCTGGTTCCTTGTTATTTATTTCCGCTTCCCACTCAGTTCATTACAGCTGAGCATCTTGCCCTGTGTTCATAAAAGGACTTTAAAGCAGTATCCTAGCAGGGGGTGTTCTTTTTTGGAGTTTATTTGCTTTTATTGGTTTTGCTGTTATCATATGCTCAGGCTCCAGAGACTTTGTTAGGTTTTGATTACTGTGTTCCCTTAGTGAACATTTTGTTTTTCCTAAATATTTGTACTTTATGACCGTGGGATGTGCTGTGTGGAATCAGTATTATTTGGGATAAATACCCTTTATTTTGTCAGTCTGCTATTAGTGCTAGCTTACTAATTATTTAAAATGTATCAGCTTTTTCTTCCTGACTTATTAGCTTCTGTCTGAAGAATCTCTTTCACCATAGATGTACATTATGTAATTCTGCTTTTTTCTATTCAAGGTGTAGATTTTAATTCCAGTTTGAAATTTTCATTTGATCTTTCTCTCCCTGGGAAGAAAACTTCAAGAAAAACTCCAAGTTCTCGCAAGGTAAAAATTATTCATGGAATCTGAGTTAGTTTTATGGAAAAGTGAAACTGCTGTAAAGATTGAGTGTACTTTGGATTTGGAGATGCTCTCTTTATTTTCTTTTTTGTTTTTCCTTTTAAAAAACTCAAGCAAACCCAAGCCCTCTTGTATGCCTGTGGTTTAGTTGGGTTAGTCCAACACCTGAGCTCTGGCCTGACTGATTTTACAATATCTGGGTGCCCATTTCCTGTGTGTTGTTCCCTGAAGTTATTTCTCACATAACAGAGGGGTGTATTAGGAAATATCCCCATGCACAGATATTTTCCCTGTGGCTCTGTTCACTAATGAGTTCCCTGGGAACTAAACAGTTCCCTGGAACTGTTCACTAATGAGTTATGTCAGCAGTATTTCACATTCATGTAGCAGAGTAATTTCTGGGAATTTTTGGCTCCCCATACATGTTACTTCCTTCTGAGGTTTGCTGCCATGGGGTTCTTATAAGAAAAATCATCTTTCCCCAGGGCTGCAGCAGGGCTGGGCTCCTGCTGCCCCTGCAGGCCCTGCTGCAGCTCTGAGCTCTGCCCACTGCATCCCTTTTCCCCTTTTTTCTCCCCTTTTTCCCCCCCTTTTTCCCCCAGATCGAGGTCATGCACGACTACCAGGAGAAGAGGAATTCCTTGCAGTACTTCATTTCAGACAGTGAGGACAGCTTGGATGTGCTGAAAGGGTGAGCCCTCGCCCCCTTACACCACCTAAAGGATGTTTGTTTTTGCCCAGTCCTTGCCCCATCCCTGTGTTCCTGCAGCCTGACCCAGGAGTCAGCTCCTGTGCTTTTACCTCCTGGTTATTAATGGGATCACGCAGTGGTTTGGGCTCCTTGAACTGTGGGGCCTTTTATAGACATTAAATAGTACACTTGTATGTTTTTTCATTTTAGGCACGTGATAAATGAGCTTATAGAAACAGAGAGAGTGTATGTGGAGGAGCTGTTCACAGTTCTGACGGTGAGTGAATCTGCGGGTTCCCACTGCTGTTTCCTGGTCATTGGTACCAAAGGGCCCCTGCCACTGTCAGACTGAGCCCAGGTGGGACAGGCAGCTTCCACCAGGCTGCCAGGTCCCAATCCAGTCACAAATGCTCAAGTTTGCTCCTTAGGTTCTCTTTGTTGGAGGCATCTGCAGGAACAGTTGGTGTCAGGATGAGCTTTTCATCTGCAGTGAAGGAGAACCCTTGTGTTTGTACACAAAAGCACTGGTAATTAGCCTCAGCAGTGCCTGTAAAATATACAAAAAGCTGTTTCTCTAGACTGTTCCCTAATTTCCTTTACCTTTAGGAGACAAAAGGAAGCAGCTTGTGTTTTATCCTTGGAGAATCCTGTCTCAATACTGTGAAATGGTGACTGTATGAAGCACCTTGCTTTAGACAATGATTTTTCATGCTTGTCATTTTAGACATTATTACTTTATTCCAAAATAACTCTTGCTGATGGCCAAAACAGGGAATAAAAGGGATATTGCACTTAGAAAGCGGGAGATCATATTGAAAGTCTGTTCATGTCCCCTTTTCACCTGCCTTTGGGGAGATGGCAGCTGAGTGTGAGCCCTTTTCCATTGCAGGGCTACAGAGCAGAGATGGACAACCCTGCCATGCTGATCCTGCTGCCCCCCGTGCTGAGGAACAGGAAGGATGTGCTCTTTGGGAACATGCCTGAGATCTACGACTTCCACAACAAGTATGGGGCTGCTCTCCTCCCTTCCCCCAGGCTGATCCTGCTGGAGCACCCACCCTGCTCACTGCTGGTTCTTGTCCCCTCTCCCATCTCTTGCAGGATTTTCCTGCACAGCCTGGAGAGCTGCCTGGGAGCACCCGAGAGAGTGGGATGTTGTTTCCTGGACAGGGTGGGTGAATCCTTGTCACTCTAATGCAGACTCCAAGGCCAGGCTTTCTCCTGGCTGTCACACTCTGCAGCACCCCAGCTGTGTTGGTGGGGTCAGGCCAGCAGAGATGGCAGAGCCCCAGCTGTGACCCCAGCTGTGCCTTTTTCACCCAAAATGTCATTGTAGACATTAGAGCTGGCAGCAGAGGTGAAAGCACACGGTCTGGGTGCTGGCTGGCAGGATTGGTCCCTGAGGGTGACCTGCCCCGTGCTTGCCTTGCAGAGGGAGGATTTCCAGATGTATGAGAAGTACTGCCAGAACAAGCCCCGCTCCGAGTCCCTGTGGAGGCAGTGCTCTGAGAGCTCCTTCTTCCAGGTGAGCTGCTCTTCCACCCACCTGGGCACTGCCTTGTCTGACAGCCTCCTCACAGCCCACAGGGCTGCAGTGTGCTTGGTGCTGTGTGCAGAGTGCGCACAAAATGCTCACTAAAGGAGATGTTGGTAGTTCTCGTACCCCAGGAGTACAGGGCAGATCCACAGGTTAATTTGCATGTAATTATAATATTTCTTTAGATATGGGTATCATTCAACCCTTGGGCATGAAACCCTTGAAGTCATCAAACCCCACAGCTGTGCTGTTGGAATATCTACTGACAGGTGGTGCAAAACTTGCTTAGTCTGACTTGTGTGTTTCAGGAATGCCAAAGGAAACTGGAGCACAAGCTGGGGCTGGACTCCTACCTGCTGAAACCTGTGCAGCG